AATCAAATCTCTGCGTGTCAAACGCGAAAAACAAACACCAAAAAAAAGACCTGTGTACACACAGGCAGAGAAAACACACACAAATACATATATGTATTCATATGTACATATATATATACATATATTTACATATGCACAAAAACACAATTGAATTCTGTTGGGCCATCCGAACATTTCACCTTCCCCCCGAGTCTGGGCCAAAGCAACGTCGGTGATCTCCCCAGACTTCTTGGTGTCGAAACCTCCCAACGAAGCGGAGCGAGATGCTAGCGCATCGTCCCGTCAGCGACAGGCTCACGGTCTCTCACGGTCTTTAGGATCAATCACCTCAAGCCCCAAAGCCTGCCTGTTGCTTGAAGATATGACCCTTTGACCAGCCAGCTTTTGGGAGGTGAGGGTACAGGATCTGTCAACGGGCTCTCGTGTAACTGGTCGGCTGGTGAAGTGATGAATTCAACTACCTCTGGATATGTTATGGTTGCGGCTGCAGCTCAGTCTGCAAACATATAATCACACGTTCCCCTGAGAAAAAGGAGATTCGGGCCAGTTCAACAGCGTGCTTTGCATTGTGCAATCCTGGACTCCATTGTGCAGTTTTCGCATTTTTTTCGGGTGATCTTTTGGACCATAATTCTGTCCACACAACACTCTTTTCCAATTTGTTTGGAAGTGCATCTGGCAAAGGCCTCCGAAGTTCCCTGCATCATGTGCCATGAATCATGTTGCGTAATGTCTGATTATGCTGCTGCTCTCTAGATCCACATATCCCTTCCACCAACACTCTTGCGTTTTTAGACTGATCTACGACCTACAAGTGGCCCAAGTATGGTTCCACGGAGAAGGCCAAATGAAGGCTCCGAAAACGACGAAAAACGGAGTTTTTGGTGAGGAGTTGTAGGGTATTTTTCATTCCGGTTATACAAACCCCGAACCCCCTGACTCAATGAACACCAGAACAACAAAACACTCACACACACACACTCTCTCTCGCTCTCTCTGTAGCATGTCATTTGGTCGGTCAGCTAAGTGTCCAACAAACCGTCCGATTGCATCAAACAGTCATTAAACAATAACATCCACATGCCATCTCCTCTCACAATGGTTCACATCCCAAGTGGCCAAATGGCCGTTTGTGTTACAGCGTCAGCATCACCTGAGCCCTCGGTTCGCCCTTGTTCACCTTACCCATGTCCACGATGCCGCTGAGAGGCGCTGGAAGAGTTCCATGTAGGTCTCGTACTCGCTGCTGGTGAAGCCCTCGCGCACCATGAGCAAATCCTCGACCAATGTTTCGCCGGTTTTCTTGGGGCGGTGGAGATGGGTACACAGGCTGGTGGGGCAACTTGCTGAAAGAGATTCGAGCACTTCCGCAAACGGGGGTGGGTCAGTCCACTGAGGCAAGTGGGAAAAGGGCGTGGTGTGAGCCGAGATGATGGGAACTCGGATTCTGGGTACCAAAACCCCCCAAAAGAACAAGCGTCTGGTCAAGCCTTCCCCAACCGGAGCAACCAAACTCACCAAAAGCCTTTGACCTCGACTCTAGGATGAGTGATGAACCCAAGTTGTCGAACGAGTCATTGAAAACAACAGTGAATGCACAAAGCTCCGTCACCGAAAGAACATCCCATAGATTATCAACTAGATCCTATGACAGGCACTTTTTATCTTGCAAACACTCTGTTCCCTGCCAAGAAGCCATGAGATGCTTGAATTCGGGAAACCTTGGCTGTTGCTGTGATGGGCAATTGTGAAAGCGCCGACTAGCGCTCACAGAACAATAAGGCGTTATGCCGATATTTTGCTCGTTTTCCAACATTCGGGTGGACAGCATTGGTACATTAAACAAAAACGATCGCATCTCGACAGCAAGTGGCCGATTTCCTTATGGGCACAATCCGCAGACATGTGAAGTGCGACAGTGAAGTGAAGCTTTGAGTGTGATGGGGGGGCTCGTTCGAGGATCCGAACGGTTCGAGGCCGCTATTAGGTTGGAGGCCATTGCTATTGATGGCCAACCTAGAAGCAATGGCCTCCAACCTAATGGAAAAGAGTCAGTTGACGGCCAAGTAGCTTCAAAGCGCCCTTTCCATCCTCGTCCACTTCATGAATCAACTCCACCAAGACATGCGACCTGAGCATCAAATGCGAGCCAAAAGGATGTATTGCAGCGGTGCCCAATCGGAGATCGCGCCAGCCCGTTGGATCGAGAACCAAAGTAAGGCCTTAGAAGGTTTCAAGCTTGAAAGCCTCAAAGGTTTTCTACGATCTCCCACCATCCCTTTCAAATCACCCACGGCTTATCCAAAAGCACCCCTGGTGGCTGTTCCATTTAACAAAAAACGCACCCAAAACCCATGGTAGATGTAGGACACCCATTCCACTCACCGAGTTGGAGGCGATTGGCGCCTTGGGGCACGTCATGCCGTTGCAGGACTTGTATAGCTTCTTGTTACTACAGGTAAAACGATTCCCAAGGAAGCTCCTTTTTACTAGTAGCAGAAGGAACCTAACAGGAAGAATGGCCTCCACCCTAATAGCGATGGCCTCCACCTAGTAGCTTCTAGAGACGAAGCAAAACGGATGTGGCTCCGTTGAAGCAAATGCCGGGACTTCTCCAGCGTCCCCAGTGATCTTATCTTTGATGATCTTTCGACTGTCAGGTACTTTTCCTTTTCTGGAGGTGATTCGAGCTTGGAACCTTGCCACGTAGCAACGACCTGCCATGGTTCGCATCTTTTTCTCTGGTGCCAAATCGTGGGATTCCTCAAGCCAAACCTACAAAGGAACAACTCCTCAGCTTCACATTTTGCGCTAGACCCCGGTCAGCCTGAAGTAACCCAAACCATGGAACGTGGCAAGAAAAGCAGCACTGGAAACATGGTCATAAGCTTAGGCTTTTTTTTGAGGACTCACACTTTCCTTCCCCAGCCATCTTCGACCAGCGACATGGGCTCGATGCCCAGGTTTTCCAACATCTCTGCGAGCTCCACGGCCTCCATCGTGCCAGAGTTATCCAAGTCGGCCTCCTCAAAGGTGCCTTGGATTGCTACTAGGGGCTCCTGGCCTTACTACTGGAGCACGGACGCTACTGGGGTCTCCTGGCATCGCTACTAGGAGCAAGGACGCTACTAGGAGCAAAGGTGCCTTGGATTGCTCCGATAGGCCTCCAATCGGCATCCGTACTGTCACGGTGGAAAGCAAGGACGAAAACGACTCGATGTGGTTTTCGGATCGGTGAGTCCTGTGAACCAATTTGGTATTTCCAAGTTGCTCTTGTAGAACTTGTCCTGGCAAGCTGTATGTTCTTCCATGTGGAAGAAACATCTCACTTTCAACTGGAAACATGATCCAACGAACACAGCAACACGAACAGGGTTTCCTTTTTCCATATCCAAGGACAGCTACCCCCCAATCAAATTGGCTGGCAGGGAGATCAAAATGTGGCGCTCCTGGATTGCCTCGTAGCCTCTGACCACGCTCAAGAACTCTTCCAACTCCTTCGTCGGAACCGTTTCGGAAACCCTTCCGTATGAGGCCGTGGCAGGAATCATGCGAAAACGACCAGCAATCGTGTCACCCGTGGGAACCATGGCAGGTCTGCAGCATGTCCAACCTTCTACTGGCAGCATCCTCATGCTTGTGTGACTCATACAAATGGTCGTATGATGCACCGTGTGCGTCATACACAAACCAACAGCAAAAACGTCACCAAGAGCCTGAGAGGTGGTGGAAAGCAGAAGCTCAAACCTGCCATTGGGATCTCCCCGACTTGTGGGCTCCAAAGCTTTATCAAAATCTTGGTGGACTTTGGATGCCATCGCTACTAGGGTGGAGGCCATCGCTACTAGTAACAAAAAAGCTTTCTAATATGTCTCTGAAGCTTTCTAGTAACTAGAAGCTACTAGGTGGAGGCCATCGCTACTAGTTAAGTTTCCCTCAAAATCTAGGAACCAAATCATTAGCGCGAGCTATCCTGCGTCCATACTAGTAGCTACCTAGCTACTGCTAGCTACCTCCATTCCTACAAGTGGCTACCTCAATTCCTTACTTAATCAAGTAGGGACGGGTGGAGGCCATCGGTGTAAGGCCAAATCTTTCGCGCTGGCCCCAGATCGCTCCAGCGTGGAGTATTTTGTGATGGCATCGCCTCAGCACTGTCAGTACTGTCGAGACGAGAATGTGGTGGGGCACCACGGAAACATGGAAGTCAGTGTGGGATTTTGCTGGAATTTCACCACAAATCCCTTGTTTCCGCAAGGAAATTGGACTTTTCCTGTAGATGTTCTGTAGTTAGTTAGAATGGAATATTTCTATAAACCATGGCACCCGGAACGAAACTGCCCTCATGTTAGATGAGGTTAGCATGTCTACATGTTCAACATGTAATGTAATCCAACCTTGAGCTTGGTTGTCCCTTTGCGCAACATTGGATGCCCAACGCCCCACCCATCTAGTATGGCCGGCAATTGGGCTGAAACTGATCTGTTCAAGATCTCAGCTGAAGACTCGAGGTGCTGAGACGACAGGTGGATGCGGTTCGATTGGATTTGTGCTTTCTAGACCGGTAAATAACAAACAACCAACACAGGTCTGCTACTTGGATTCCCCGAAACTCGGAACTCAACTTGGATTTTCTCGCTGGGCGGACCCCCTCCTCTTCCCAAACATAACTGCAGCAGAATGGCAAGCGGTCTCCACCCACGCTTCGCGAATGCCCACGAAACCACACAGCCTCGATTCTTTCGCTTCGCGCCCGCGGGCAGTTTGACGACGTGCCGCGGGCTGCTCGTGGGGGTTTGCCGGGCCGAACTTGTGGAATATCAACAAGTGCATCGCTTCTAGTAACAAGTGCCTTACTAGTAGTAACAAGAAGCTATTATCCGATCTGCTTGTTTCCTTGACGGCTGCACAAACAAATGTCTTGATTGGTGACCTGTAGAGGGGTGGAGGGTGTGAGTGTCACCAATGCTCATCACCGCAGAGACACCAAGTCTTTCGCCAAGTAGCTCGAGGCCCTTCGACAATTCGTCGCGATGGATCTCGTTGTGGTCCTGAAGCTTGTTGAACACACTGACCTCAAGTGCCGCACAGTGGCCGCGCGACAAACGCCGTGGAGATCGTTGAAAGCCGTGGGTTTTAGCAATAGCTGGGACCACTCTTAGGGCCCGTTGCCAAACGAGACATCCTGACAGTTTCTGAACATGCTTGCAGTCAGTTTTGCTTTGAACCGGTGTTCGGCAACCACATCTGTTGAGGAAAGGCTGGTAATCTGAACAGTGACGATCTGCACCGCCAGAAATTCGGAGCCAAGTGAGGTCTGTCAAGAACACAGCTCTGTATGACACAGGGGCTGCTTTTCTGTGCAAATAAGTCACTCTCACGTCTTCTTTGGCGTTGAGGATCATCTCTTTCCGCATCTCCTTAGCATCCAGCTTGTGAGATGATGGCTCAAGTCACCATATGAATGGCTTGTTCAAAACTCACCTGATACAACTGACAGTTGGAAGCAAGCTGGGATAGTACTTGGCACATGACTGGTACAACGGAAGCTGCTCATGTTCATTCAATCGCAGAAACACCTAGGACCTACGTCGTCGAACAACAGTGCTGCACACATGCGTCACCTTGGTACTCGCAACACAAGCGTAACGTTAGTGCTTCAAGCACGGCTGAAACCGAATTGGCTTGGCATTGCGAGAGGGTGCGGCACACAGAGTTATATAGGCTGGTATAGGTTCAGGCGATGCCAGTGATTCATCTGAGTGTGCTTCAAAAAAGTCCCTCTCCATATTGCTTATACAAGGTAATGGGAAAGAACACCAACCATCTGATTATCAGGACTATGCCAGATTTGAGCTTATTTGCTGAGATAAAGTGCAAAGGTCTTTGTCGTTCATCTATTGCACATGACGAGCGGGTGACATGTTGGATAAATATCTCTTGGGCTGCGGACTTCTCCACAGCACGCAGGGTTCTAACCGCAAAACGACCAGGAAATACATGTCACCTTGATCTTTCATAGCTGTGCAGTTGCGAAATCCATTGCTGTGATGACTGGCAATAAGCAAGGCAAAAAAGACAGCAACAGAAAGGACAAGCAAAATTCTTCTAACTTCGCCAAGTTTCTGCAAGTGTCTGCCGCTTTTGTCCACAGTTCCGGCAGGTCTCAACGGTTTCTGAGAGGAACACATAGCCGCAGCTTAGGCAAATCTTGTTCCCATCCATTTGTCCACTACCTCACTTGCAGTGGAAATAACACGACGGTGACAAAGCCTTAATGCGAACATCTTGGAACACTGCCTCACAAGTTTGCTAAGTGACACTTCTTACTCTGTGGCAGATTCTTGTTCCCCCTTGGGGAACCTGTGCACCTGTGCGTTTTGGAGTAATCCGGCATGATGTTCGTGGCGAAACACTCTTGGGAAGCCTCCTTCCAGAGTATGCTGCCACGGGCACCCCAAAATTGGGCCGCGGCCTAGTAACAATAAGCTACTAGGAACAAGTGCATCGCTTCTAGTAACAAGGGCCTTACTAGTAGTAACAAGAAGCTATTAGAAACTCAACCTCCAGCTTGGCCGCTCCTTTCCCTTCGTCCGTTCGCAAAATGGGCCATGAATTTCATCTCCATTCCACCCAAACAGTTTCGACAGTTCCAAAGCACCTTCCAATCCAAGTCTCCCACGCCCGTCCATCCACCCTGTCTACATCCTTTCACCAGCTCAAAGGCACCGCTGGGCCTGGGCATCAAATTCGCGTCGCTGTTGGTGCGCGCCAGGTCGCGCCAGGAGGTGCTCCGCGCCAAGCGGAAGTCGCCAGGACTCCTCAGTCGTCCGCTTCGGCCGGGCGGCGAAGGTTCTGCAGCCTCGTCACATCGTCGTTGCAGCCTCGTCCGACAGTGAAGCATTCGTGGATTTCTTCGAGATTTTTCGCACCCACATGCACCAACAGTGCTGGAGGAACAGACGATCTGACTATAAAAGAGAGGATCGTCAAATACAACGAGAACTAACCTCTCTTTGAGGTACACCTTACCAAAACTAGAACGTACACCTTACCAAAGCTTTCAAAGAGGTTCTTGTTTTCCACCACGGCTCTGTGGTGGCTCGAAGCTGTCGGGCGAGGCGGAGCCGGTGGCGCTGAGCTCCGCTGGCCTTTCCTGTCGGATGGGACGCCCGAAATGCAGAGTGTTTTTGAGAAGAATTGAGCAGAATGGTTTTCTTTCTCCAACCTACTGGCAAACTATATTAGACCTTGCTACTAGGAGCAAGAAGCTACTAGGGGCTCCTGGCATCGCTACTAGGAGCAAGGACGCTACTAGGGTCTCCTGGCATCGCTACTAGGAGCAAGAAGCTACTAGGGGCTCCTGGCATCGCTACTAGGAGCAAAGACGCTACTAGGGGCTCCTGGCCTTTGTAGAAACGGCCTCCAAGCTACTAGCGATGGCCTCCTACCTAGTAGCGTCCCTCTTGCGCTCCATGGAGCGCGCCCTGCGCGCCTGCCGGAGGGAACGCATGCACCGATTTGCTGAACATGTGATGAGTCCACAGAAGCATTAGTATGTCACAAAAAGAAACGGTATGTCAACCATGGCGTATCAAAAAAACTCGGGTGGGAACAACAGGTCACCCAGTATAGTTTCAATTTAGATCAACCTCGGAGGAGAACTTGCTTCCTAGACACAGACACACACACACACACAAAGGGCTCTCCAACGGTTTCTTCCATATGGACACCCTCCAAAGACCTTGAACCAAAGAAACATGGATTTCAGGAGAACCAGGGTGCTCATGATCCCCTGACTTGCAGGGACTCAACGAAAAACCTTCAGAAACTCCTGGAACTCTCAACCTTCCAGTTGCATTTGGAATCGGTTGTCCGGGAAGTTGTCCGTATTTCTTTTTGATTTTTTTTGAGCACTGCCACCCTGCGACAGTGGACATGCTTAGTTGCACCCCTATTCCCTGATTTTGTGTGCCCTTTGATGGGTCATTTCGTGTGGCAAAGGCAGTTGGAGAGATGTGACTAACAGCAAAAAAATCAGCATTTCGGGTGATAAGCATGGATAAATCCAACCCGAAATGCGTCTGAACACAGCGTGCGCGCCAACAATAAACAGTCTTCGGAGTTTCGCATCGTGCCATGCGCCATTGACTTTCACACAGCATACGAAAACGAATGGCTCTCCTCATCCTTCTCGACCTGGATCACATTCAGCACCTGCCCCAGGCAGCAACGAAGACGGTTCGTCATGTTTTTCCAAGCCAAATGTCTAAAGTTAGGGATCATCTTTGGGTCAAGCAGTGCTTCGCCGGCATTCCATGCATCTTGACCGTTCTTTTGAGCCACCGAGCTTCAGCACCTGAGCCTGTGGGTTTTTCCCTGGCCAACTCCCCCCAACGTCCGGAGCCCTGGACCTGGTGGCAATGACAGCCGCCACGCTCCAAGCCTCAGTGCCCACACACGTGGATAAAGCAACTACGAGTCAAACAACATCCGAACATGGGAGAAATCCCATGCTACCATCGCAACGATGAAAGGAATAACAAATCATCCCAGTGGCATACATACACTATACAAGGCCTGCTTTGCCAATTGCCAGCGGTTATGCTTGCTTGACCTGCCAGGCCATCGCGACTAGGTAGCTGCCACATTTTTGACCTTTCCTCCCAGCCACTGCGATGGCACCGAGGGCAGCTGGGTCTCAAGGGCTCCGCCACCACGCTGCCCTTGGACCCGGAGATCCGCAACTTCACCTCGCTCATCGGTGAAAAAACCCCGCAAGGAGGAGCACCACTCTGAGAATTGAACACCTTAATAAAGAAGAACCGAATAGAGAGCATGGCCTGCAACCTACTAGCGTTGGCCTCCAACCTGCTAGCGATGGCCTGCAACCTAAGAGCAAGTGGTTGAACAGCCATACTCTTTGGTTGAAAAGCGAACAAATGATCATTAGACATTTGGATGCTCAACGGGCGAATGTTGATCCCTTCACATTCTTCTAACATTTAAATTTTACAATTGCATTTTTGTGATGACCACATGGAGGGCCCATCCATCCACGCCAGCCCTTCCCTCTCTTCCATTCCGTTGCGACCTTGGTATTTTGGAACCGCACCACGCGAACGCACATCTTGGCTTTCCGGTCGAAGAAGGTCTTGTTTGCCCGTGGCGCAATGGGCAACAGGCGCCTTGGCGAAGGAACATGCCGTCGGAGCGCCACCTCTGCTTTTTTGCACTTACCGTTGTACCCTGTGCCACGTTCATCCTCCCAGAATGCAATTATATATATATATATGTATAATATCACCATCCATCACCTCTAGTATAGTACAGGGACTACCCACACGCTCCTTAAATAATATCTCAGCCCAATCACTCGTGTTTCGCAGCACTCTTCGTGCTGGTCTTTGGCAAGCTCTTCGCAGTGTTCTTCCGCCGTAAAGAGCAGAAAGAAGTCTGGGTGGTTTGGTGAAAGTCGCTGCCTGGCTTCAAGAGCTTGAGTGTGACCATACATGACTATGTTGAACACTGGTAAGTGAACATTGTTTTTCTTATTTTGATTTAATGCTTGCTGCTTGCATCGGTGGATCGTCTCCGCATCAAAGCAATTTCTCACTTACCTTTTGTTATGACATCCCTGTACCAAGCAGAAGGTTCTCGAGTGAGTTCTACCGCTTTTGCATGATTGGAGTATCAAATTATGCCAGAAATAAGAGACCCAGCTTAGGTGACAAAAAGGTGAACTGAAACTTCCTCATCAGCCCTCCTCAGCAACGGGCTCACTTGGAGCCAGCCTGACTGGCAAAGTCTCTCGGCGCTCCTGGGGCTCAAAGTCCTCGGAGAGAGGGAGGTGATGACTCTGGTTACAGTGAATGCCCTGGAATCCCCAGAGCAAGACCTGAGTTTTAGAATTGAGAAGGCGTCCGGCCACAGAAATCAAGGACTGTATTGACCAAATAAGTGTATGTGAAAATGAACGTATACATGTACACGACTTTCGAAACGCCGATGGAGAATTCCACCCGTGCCATCATGCGCACGCGCGCACGGGAAGGGTCCTGGCTAAGTCATCCTCCATGTCCAGTTGCAGTTGCAAGTTAAGTTCTTTGAGGCCCAAGGGCAAGTCACGCCTTCCTGGGCAGGAAGGGTTGATTTGACGTCAAGGTGGGGAAGCATGATGGAAGCAGAATTGAACCTTCTCACAAGCAGTTTTTGTCAGTCTTGTCCTGCAAAACGCGCCTTCACACCAAACAGCATTGGAAGCGGGGGTGGGTCATACGCACAGGAAAACGCCCGCAACACCAACCACATGCACAACAAACATGAACATCACCAGGGGTTCCTTGAATTGCTCAAACGGTGAATGGGGAGTTTAGACCATTGAAGCTTCACTGTCATCAGCATGAAGGACTGCCCGATGTGCATGTGGATGCAAATGCCAGGTGGCTTTGTCACAGTTGGTCTCAAGGGAATTGATCAACACCACGGGTAGAAAAACACACCATGTGACAATGTAGCATACAATTGGCTGATATGACCTGTAACAAGCTCCAAAAGTAGAACATGTAGAAAGGAAGATCACATGACTCATTCATGACCCATGACCGAAAAATATAAACACACCTGACACACCTCACTTGCTGAGGCTTTTCCCATCTTAAGACCAACCGAAATGGTCCAAACGTGGCCCTTCCATATCTCTGAGCATCCGTAGACCTGCTCCATGGAGGGTGGCAGCGGGGGCCTCGGTGGGGGAGACGTGGGAGACCCTCTCCTTGGTTCTTCCTAATATTAGACCTACTAGCAAACTATATTAGACCTTTCTTTGTTTCAGCAATGGCCTCCAACCTACTAGCGATGGCCTTGAGCCTAGTAGCGACGGCCTCCGTCACGGTTTTTTGAGGGGGGGCGACCATGAGGTTCTCTCCATTCTAACGTGCACCCACATGGGTTTGGCCAAAATTCTTAGGACTGAACCGACCTCTTTAGGAGGTGTTTGGGGTAGGTTTGGATGGTGCAACGATTTTCTGAGGTTGTCGGAGGCCTGGGTGTAGAGTTGGTACACCACTCACAACTAGCAAGGGGTCTTCTTGGCCATGTTTGATCCAAATGAGACTTGTTTCGGCACCAAACATCAGGTCTTTAGTGAGTTTACCACGACAGAGCCATCGTTGCTGCAGTTTGGACCGGCTGTGCACATGTCCCAAAACATCGGCGTAGCTTCAACATATCTTTCCACAACCCAAATATCTGAGCCGAACGCCTCAGACCAACAAAAATTTGGACACATATCACGAATAGCACTTTTTTGCGTCACTCAGACCCAGAAGAATTTGGAAACATCACGAATAGGAAATAACGCCTTTCTTAAAGTCCAAAAAAGAAAACTATTTGGCCTTTTTCGCTACTAGGAGCCAAGGGCATCGCTACTAGGAGCAAGGGCGCTACTAGGAGCTTTTTCGCCTCCCAAGCGGCAACTCCATGGGTCCCCAAAGGCCCCGCAAAGGACGCGGGACTGAGCTGGACCAGCTCGCTGTCTAGCACGCGGCGGCGGAACCGAGTTTCGAAAAGAAGACACCACGGTGGATGACCCCACGTGGAGTGGAACATATAAAATGGTCGATTACTGGGTGCATTATATAAATGGATGCTTTCTCGCCCAGGTGGTCTATTGGAACCGTTGAACATGAAATTGGTGAAGCAATGGCGGAGACGATCTGTGCTCGATAACTCTCTTTGGTAATCCTACGTTGGGACCCCCGTACAAGAGCAGAAAGTCCAGTTTCCGCTATGTGATGAGGCTCCTTCTCTTTTGGTGTCTATCTCCTCCACCTGCTTACCCAGATCGACCCAGCTGCCCGGCATCCGAGTACCGCGATCCTCGAGCAACTCTCCCGATCAGGTGACGGCCCAATCCATCTCCAGGACGAGTGGACACCAGTGGACACCAGTGGACACCAGTGACACCAGTGGACACCAGTGACACCAAGATCCCCAAGTGGTTTTGAAGACTGGAATTCTCAGGGCTTTGGGAAGCTGGAATTCTCAGCTAGCTTAATTCTTGTTTCTATTAGCTTCTTGTTACTACTAGTAAGGCACTTGTTACTACTAGTCAGGCACTTGTTTCTATTAGCTTCTTGTTACTACTAGTAAGGCACTTGTTCCTAGTACAGATGCACTTGTTTCTAAGTTAGAATGCTCACCTGGGGCCAAACATCGAGACATCGAGACATCGGCCAAGGGACTGAGACATTCATGGACCTCTCTGACTCGAATCCTGGAGCAATCGCAGTCACTTGTTTCCAATCCCTGCTGTAGTAACAAGAAGCTATTTCAAACAAGTGCCTGACTAGTAGTAACAAGTGCCTTACTAGTAGTAACAAGAAGCTATTAGAAAATCCTGCAACTGCTTTAGCTTTTTCGATGCCACTCGCAATCACGGCATGAGTCATTGCAGATCTTCGGCTTGGGGTGCTCTGTGGGACGCATGATCCCGGGGTTTCGGTCACCAAATTCAAGGGACATCTGGGTGTTGAGTCCTCGATGCCAACTGCTGCCAGTCACTTCGGGGATGTCATTCTCCTCATGCCTGTGCCCAAACGGAATGACCCATCATGCAAGGCAGTGGCGGGAAAGAGCCACAAACATATGTAACCCACTCTGTCAAACAAACCAACCAAAAAATGAGGCATCACTAAGCTTGTGGAAGGCAATTTTTTACGCCGCATGGCCATGTTGGTCTGTGGGAGTGTCACAAGCAATTTGTTGAATGTCTCAGAAGCATGTCTTTTGTATACTGGGCTCCGATGTGTGATGTTCATGTGGTCACTTGTCTGCCGAGAATTGGATGTCCCTCTTTTTTAACCAACTTTCGATGGTGTTCGTTGGCCCCAAGCCCCCCAAAATGATCAAAAATCTCTTGACTCTTTCCATTCGCTGCCGCGGGCTTAGGGCACCACAGCGGTTGTGGCCTAGAATTATCCCAGTGAGGAAACCACGTCTGGGTAGAAGGCCCTGTTCATGGACCTAGCAACTGCCGCTGAAGAATCTTGGGTAGATGGACCAGTTCATCCACCAAACGTTCCATCCACAAGACTTGAGTGCGGCCTGCCAGCCCTTCAGCATGAGCATCCATCTTCCACGGGCTTCTGCAAAGACTGTGAACGCTCCCCTCTTCCAGCTGTGAACGCTCCATGGAGCCGCCCCCCCTCCCGTCCCAGGTGCCCTGGACCGAACGGACCGGTGACACCGAGCCTCACCACCAAAGTCGGAAGCTTCGTCATGTCGATGGGCGATGGGCGAGCCGCTGTTCCCTCATTCGAGGGCGAGCCGTTGTTCCCGCCCCCGTCGCCCGAAAAAGCGGACGGAGCGAAGGTGTGGCTGTGGTTGTTTACAGTCTAGCTTCAGTGTGTGGGTGGAATGTGGACATCAGCTACACTTGCTTGAGTTGTTCTGGCAACAAAGCTTTCCTCTGGGGGAAGATTTTGTGTCCCCCAGTTCGTTCATTTGTGCTCCGTGCAGTTCAAGGTAGTCCTTTTTTTGCTGAGTCTTGCACTCTTGGAAAGCATGGATGAACCATGGCCTTCAGAGTTTTGTGGCCTCTGCTGCCCAAGACCTACTCTTTGAGCCAACGAAGGCATGGGTGGCATGGCAGAAGTGCATTCCGAGGCTTCACAAAACACCACCCAAGTGTGGATGGCTGAACCTCTGAATGTCTTTTGCTACTACTAGTGGCAACTCAAATTAAAATGCGTGACAGGAATTCCACACGTTTCCGTCAAACTCACCAAGTGCATCAACAAGATCAATCAGAACAACCCGAAGGTTTTTGACAGGCTTTGAGCTTCTTATGGTTCTGCCACCTCCCAACCTGTTCGAGAACTGTTTATATAGTTCAACTGCTGCGACACCGTCAACCCTATTGGTGCCTGGTGCTTGAGGTCTCCTCCATCTGAGTAGTCCATCACCTGGGCTCCGAAAAAGCGCCAAAAAACCACATCGGGTCGTTCAAGCTCTTCCGTCCTCAGCTAACTCAGCCGGCTGGAAAACATGGCTCCCAGGGCAAAAAACAAAGGCCGTTTCTTCTGGATAGTGGGCGCTCTGAAGACGATGGACTTTTGCATGCAAACACCCCCTACAAGTTCAACTCAGAACATGCCCTTTCTCTGACATTGCTTCGTTGCATGACGGAGTGTAGATCCACTGATCCACCTCACCTCGCGCATCACAATGGCCCCATGACCGCTCAGCCACCCGACGATGACAAAGGAGCCTTCCTCATGGAAACTCTCATGGAACCGGGCCTTGGCACGGCAGCTGAAAGCATGCGAGCTACTTCCACAGTTTGGCGCTAGTGATTTCGGAGCTAGATGGCAAGCTGGCTTCCATGACTCCTTCAAGGTGTCTCTTTGCGAGCAATGTGGGTAGGTTCTTGAAAAATCAGGTCGCCTTGCAACTTGTAGCTGGCAGTCAGTCTGTGTCTATGTTCATCTGTCCCATAAGGGTGCCAAAACACTTGGAGCGTTGGATTCGGCAAACCTAATTCACCTCAGTATGTCTCTCCCCCAAGGCTTTCAGTCGAATTGCACCCCTCATCAATCCACCAGGTCAACCAATCATTCAACTTTGTTACAACATCGGTGTTCAGGACTGGTACAACAGTAGCTGAATGTTGTTTTGCGATGGATCCCGGATTGCATGCTGAAAGGTCCCTATTGATCAACGGAGGTCATGGGTCATCTCGGTCAAACCATAGCAGCTTGCTATGCGGACAATCTTGAGAGTCTGGCGATATTGGGATGGTTGAGTCGCTGCATCCTTGGAGAGCTTTCTCTGGAAGTGGTTCGAAGACATGGGGACAAAAACGCCCCTAGTTTTGTCGATTGTTTCCTTGACCCTGGCAATTGATTTCAACAGAAGGTAAGTTTTACTTACAAATCATGAACACGCAACAGTCAATCACAGTGCATGAAGCCAGGTATCTTGGTAGGAAAAAAGGCTATCAACCCCTCCAACGTCCAAGAGTCATGCATGTTGCAGAATCATCAGCACATGAGAAAGAATCAAGAAAAGCGGTGTCTTCTTACGACAGCAACGGAATATCAACATGAACACTAACAGAACAGGTGAACAAAGTGCGGGTACAACGAATCATTCAAGGGTGCCCAAACTGGACCAAGATGATCGTTTGGTGCCATTTCCACACTTGTAGGATTTAAAATGCACACCCTTTTCCGCACTTTCCTGAAAACACCACATCCACATCCATACCCTGGTAACAAGAAGCTACTAGGGGCTCCTGGCCATACTACTAGGAGCAAGGACACTACCAGGGGCTCCTGGCCATACTACTAGGAAGAAGAACGCTACTAGGGGCATTCTGACTCTCATCTCTGGAGCCTCTAGTAGTAACACTGCAGCACCTCCGCGGACACCGAGCATCAGCTCCGCTTCCATCGGCGCCTCGCGCCGGCGCCGCTCGCTGCCACGCCTCAGGTTTCACACAGGGCCAATGCCGGGCCTCCCTATGGCCAAATTGGGGATCCAAATGTTCACCCATCCAAATGCTTTTTTGTTTGTGGATATCGCCCGATTGGCTCATTTTTACTTTCTAATAAGTTTCTTTCCTATCTTTTCTCGATCATGCACTGAATCACTGGATTGTTATCAAGATTGGGCAGTCATCTCCACAGTGGTTGACAGGTGGGTGGGTGCCAATTGATTGCGCAAACTAGGCCTCCGCAGCCCCACCATGTTTGGGCATGACTAGAAAAGAATCCCTTCAACTGCACGGCTTGTTACCCTTCCAAGGGTCATCTGCCAGCACACGAGCATCACAAACAGTCTAGGCTACCCCTTCCAAAAAAAAAAAACACACAAAAGAGTCAATGTGTAAAATTCGGAACTCTACAATTCA